GATGTGGAAGGCATTCAGGCTTAATTCGGGGAACTGGTGCACAGATCCAATTCCCTAAATCAAGAGCCCCTCACCAACATCAAGGAACCTTCCTTGAGGGGAACGGAACTTAGCAGCTGTTAGTCATCACTCCTCTCGGCTGAGGCTCAATAAGTGCGATCGTCTGTCGTTAGTGTTGTGTTTCATTGCTGCTGCTGTTGTGGGGATTCTTAATTAGAAAACAACAGCAATTATACCGATATTAGTATCACAAGTAGTTGTATATTTAATCAGTTCAGCCATTTTAATGATCACATTATATTAATATATTACCGAGTGATATGGATGCTGGTGAATGGAAATAGTGGTAGCAGTGGTACGAGTTACTAGAACTTTTGCATAATAGCTGTAGTTTAACATAACTGACGACATAAACTACTGTAAAATGCAAATTATATATAAATACTACTACTTTGTAAGTGCTGTTATGGAAGATTAATTAAAAGTAAAATTGATGTGACAGCTTTCATCAGCAGAAATGCTGCCAAACGTAAAAAAGTCCATACACATTGAACTTCAGCAAAGCTGTTAAACATTGAAAGTATACAGCACATAGTGAACTTCAGTAAGAGGTTGTAGGTATAACAAGTATTATTAGGTTTTGCAAAGTGTACAGATGATTTTGATCAATTAAAATAGAAAACGAGACATCACGAGCTGTGCTCTCCTACACAGCGGCAGCTGGTGATCCCATCAGCAGCACGTATGCAATCTGTGGCTTCCTCACCACTACCATATTAACCGTCCTACGACCCCTTACCATTCATTAAACAGCCCCATCAGAATGACATCCACCATATTAATCAACCTGCTACGATCTCCTACCAATCATTAAACAGACCCATCAGAACATTTCACCATATTAATCAACCAGCTACGACTCCTTATCAGTTATTACACAGATCCATCAGAACAACCTCCACGCCTCTTAACGCAAACTGCTTGATTTAAACACCAAGGTTGTTCGCTCGTGTTCTCTTGTTTGTCTCCCCCACCCCCATCCCACCTTCTTGCCTCTGATGCAAAACTAGACAAAGGAAACTATCGCTTTGTGGGTGTTCTCTATCAGCACCAAAAAATCCTGTGTATTGCCCAAGACCCTCTCCATTGTCTAGAGCTTACCACACAGTGATTGTCGAGCTGTGTGCGGGACGTCTGATCATGCGCCCTCACACTACACACATGACAATACCTTAAGAAATACAAGAATTTGTTTTTAGATACTCGCCTGTAAGTCTCGAGGCTGTATATGCAAGTTCTATTCTTCTAAATGCACTCAGTAGTTAGGGTATCCACTTTTAATCATTACTAGATAAGATATCAACCTTTATGCAATATTACTTTTTTTGGAATCTAGTTCCATTAAGCAAAAGTTTGAAATTGTTTGTAACAGACAAGATAATTGCAGATATAAATCTCGATATACCCTTTTGGTCCCTAGTTCTAGACCTTTTGTTTATGATTATGCTCTTGCACTACCGTCCACAGGATGGATATGGGGTGCATAATAAACTAGCCACTTCGGCGACAAAATCTAATCAATATTATCACATGGTATATGAACGGTATACAATAGCCTATCAATGGTATACATTACTGATAGGATAATTAATTAAGACATGGACAATAACTGGACATCTTAGCAGACGTTATGCCAACCAGTGGTTTTATCAGTATATAATACAATATAGGAACACACGGAAAACTGTAGAAGAGGTAGTAATCAGTCCCTTAGCCTCGCAGAATTCTACGAGGTCGAGGGGACTGATTACCTCATCTTCTAGTCTTCCGTTTGTGTCCCAATATTGTATTGATAAAGCTACTGGATGGCCGAACGTCTACAAAATAAGGATACCCAGATGTTGCACATGTGTGTAATTCACTATCACCTGAGTTCTACAACTCACACGCCATGGGTTCAAACCCTGCCCGTTCTGTGGTTTGACCTGAAAATTTATTTTTACTTGCTGAGCGCCAGAATCGTTCGGTTATTCAGCGTTTGAAACACATTCAGCTCTTAATATTACCAATTTGCACCACTGATGTCAACTTGCTAATGTCGTGAGAGATGCTGGGGTGTTAACGAGGTGGGCACCTGTGGGAAGAGTGGCAGGCACCCCTCACAGAAAGTTTAGTACCTACCCTGACGCAGAAAGCATCCTTAATTCCGCCAGTGCGGAATTAAGGATTTGTATTAAACGTTCACACCTGGAAAATCCACATTTAGCCGCTACCACTAGGATTGTCACTTGTATCAAAATTGACGCCTGAAAATTTCAATATTAACCAATATCCAGTTAGCAACTTCAAACACTATCATTTAAACATTAAAACAATTAAATAAAAACTCTTAATTAAAACCTGGCAATAATTTATAATCCACTTAAAACCAGAAAACTTCTCTTGTGTGTGTGTGTGTAAACTACTTGTATTTCGCTGTGATCAGAGGAAAGTATCCCTGTACTCCATATCCTCAATTCCCTGTACCTCATTGCACACGACTGGAATAGTGCAGAGTGCGGCATAAGTTGACAATACAATTAAGTATTAGCATTGAAGATTTGAAGGAAATCAGAAGAGACATTCACATGTCATGTGGAAACTAATATTCAAATTTCTTTAATAAAAATTATATATAATTTAAACTTTTCAAAGAGACCAATATTCTAGAATACAAAAACACATTTATCTTGAAGCCGCTCAGAAGTTGCATTATCAAGCTGTCAGCATGGAACGTTTAATCATTTGCAATACAGAAATTATCGCATGAAAAGCAGCATTTCAATTTTTCTAATTTCTTCCAAAAAAGAGCAAACTGGAACCTACGCAGGCCAAAATCAATCCAAACGTTTTTCTAAGATTGGCCAGCTTTAATAACGTGAGTGTACATAACGTACAAATGTTTAACAATGGTTTTAAGGGCACACACATGTTATAGGCACATAAAAGAACACCGAGTTAATTTAACCTATAAAAGTCAAACACTGACTAATTTCTGATCAGAAGAGAGAGAATTAGTTCACTTCACAAAACCAATCTGATTGTTAATACTGGCATATAACTTACATATCGAAACATCAAGAGTTTGTTTCCATTGAGGAAAACACATCAGCACTTCAAGCTCAAAGCTGACAGGAAGATACATTTCTCAGTTATTACAGAGAATCCAACAAAATTTGTGTCTACACAGCCTAAACCCATGACACGATCCATCCACTTCAAACGGTGCGTTAGCCATTGAAGATTGATGCCGTTCACATTTGTTATAATTTAATCAAATGAAAGCGCTAAACCTGTTGGGGTCACATAACGCCTGCGGCATGGGAGGCATTCAAATTCAATCCAAGTGGATCAAGAGCCCCTCATCACCATTAAGGCAAAATAATGCAATAATGTAAAATAATACTATACCATTTCGAGATTGTCAAATGTCATTTATTTACACGCTCCATTAAATATATCAACCGTCTTTTAAGTAGGATACACGAAGGTTGAAATTATGAGGCCGACCAGAGCAGCTTATCCCCACTTACTTATCAAACGGAGTAAAATTTGGGAACTGCCTACATAGCATTGTGCATAGAGCACACACGCACGCAGTCCCATCAATCTTATTTAAGATACATTACACATGTGCTGAAAATTTGAAGCCGATCAAATAAAGACTTCGAGTAAACGAAAATTTGTGAAAAAGCAAAGAAAAATGTTTCAAAAAATAGAAAAGTCTTCCCTCTTTAAGCTTAAAAACACCATAAATCCGTAGATTTTTTTTTTTCCAGTTTATTATTCTCATTTACAATTTTTTAAACTCTAAAATCCTGTACCAACAAATATTTTATATATATTTCTTCTAATCCAGTCCAGGGTTCTGGGAATGGGTTCAATAACCTTGGTCATAGGACACATGAACACAAAATTTTTTCCAAAGTTTCGGCCCTGGTTACCGTACACGTTTCAAAGTTTTGACCCTCGTTACCGTACACATTCCAAAGTTTTGAACCTCGTTACCGTACACGTGCTGAAAATTTAATGCTGATTGAATGAAGCATTCTCAAGTTATGAGCGAAATAAAATCGAAAAGTTGAAGGAAAAAATCAGGCAACCTCTTAAATGTTCCCCTTCGTGGTTACCTAATGAAGGTTTGGTGTCTCACCACACCAGAAATTCTCTTCTGAGTTAAGAGCGTCATCAAGCTCTCCAATCAGTACTTTGCTATAACTGCTGTCATGAATTTGAAGCGCTGTATGGCATCTACGGGTCAGACAGTAAATGTGGTATAGCAAGGCTATCAGGTTCAAAAAGATCAAGTTCAACTCCTTGGATCAAGAGCCCCTTCACCAGCTTCAAAGACCCTCCTCAGGTGGGAAGTATGTTTGTTAATCCAATTTATTTTTTTTTAAATTTTGCCACATTAACCGTTCCCCAACAAGGTAAAGTTACACACACACACACACACACACACACACACACAAAAAAATTATTCAGCATTGTTCATTCAACAGCTATCCTGCCAGAAGTGCGTAGGCATCCAAGTTGAAGGAGCCTCGAGACTGCATCCTCCTCACTCACCCCTCCTTTCATCTTACTGCCTCTATCTCCGCACATGTTGTCAACCTTCATCTCCTTCGATGTTATTCTCAACGAAAGCAATATTTGAATTTCTTGCAAATACTGCCAATAAATATATCACTCAACACAACTACCTAACAACTCTCAGAGTACAAACAGGTAGTGTGTTTCTCTCGTGTCTGAGGATCAAGTCTGATTCACCACACGTGCTGAATGACCCCACGGATTTAGCACGTCAGATAATGTAAATACAGTAACACCTCATTTTCCGTCATTTTCTTCACTCAACACTGACATTCAATTATGTTTGGTTTTCACCTGAAATCCTCTGGAACTCTCTTGTAACGTTTAATAATTAACAATAAATGCAATCTATATTTTGTGGGTTTAATCATAAAACAATTGTTTGACAAAGTTTAATAAAACTAATATTGCTAGTACATTGAGAGGACCGGTTTACAGTCTCACACATCACACTATCATCTGAACCCGCGGTCTCAAGCCAATATACATAATAATGCCACTAGTTATAAAATCACATGGTACTCCATTAGCTGACTTAGCACTTTATTTAATAATAAATAATACAGGGTAGAAGAGCATCTTGACGCTACAGCCAGAGAAGGTATCGAGGAATGAATCACCATTATAGGTGGATATCGAGGAATGATTCAGTATTATAGGCGAATATAAAAAAAATCACACGATAGATATGCAGCCTCATTCATCCACACTATAGTTATTTTTTTTTTTTTGTGGCGTCCTGATAACCTGAAGTAAAACATATGGTTGACACGAAGCATGATATTCATATCATGACGTGGAACCCAAATACGTTTATATCTAAGGGAAGCGTTAAATCCTTAGGAGTCACTGAGCGCTTAACCCAAATAGTAAACACGATACTACCTCGGCTTCTATTCGTTAGCGTCAAGGATGCAACCCGAAGTTGTGGACACCATGAGTAGTAGTCATCTATTCCCCAGCCACCAGCACCAGCTAATTCCGAAAAGTACCTTCCCTTCCTCTGTTCAGACAATGGTAGAAATTTCTGCACATCTCATGAAATGTACAAAGACAAGTAACTCATCTTAATTCAACAGATAAGTGTGATAAGCCACTCTACCCCTAATATTCATTAACTATTCACAGCATAAACATGTCAATAATGACATGTTCATGTTGTGAGTTTCATTAGCGCATTCCATCCGGAATGCTCTTATGAAACTCTTTTGGAGAAGAACCCCTTCCAACACACTTGCAATACTTAATGCGTGGACATGAAACACTAACAACCACAACTAGGAAATTAAACAAAGGCCCACCACCCGTTCCCCACACTTTCCCCAAGTGTTACACGACAAAGTTGTCAATGACTAGCTATAAAGAGAAGTTAAGGATACGAAAACGGGTGTCGCACAGCCACATGTACTGAACTTCAAGCGCACACGCACTTAGTCAAGAAAAGATTCCCGGCATGCAAATAATGTTCCTTGTGTTGGTGTCTGAAATTCTACACTGGAAGCTGGACATCAAGGACTCGCACGCACTTTACACCAATAACTAATAATACACAAATAACCTGCGCATTGGCGAAAAGCTTATGGCGACGTTTCGGTCCTACTAGGACCATTAACTAGTCACACTAGTTAATGGTCCAAGTCGGACCGAAACGTCATCATAAGTTTTTCTTCCTATGGGCGGGTTATTTGTGTATTGTTCCAGTCACGGTATTGTGCCTTTTTGTTCTTTAATAGCTAATAAGTTTAGCTATCCGTACGAGTTTCCATTGCAGGTGGCAAACCAATTTTCATTTGACTACGTAAATTGTTTGACATGGCGCTCAACGCCAATTTCTTAAGGCTTCCTACTGTCCTCAAATAGTATTTTCTTTATTTAAAGTTGATTTACATTAGTCAGATTGCCTAATCGTATTAAAACGTATATTTAACTATAAGCAAATAAAAATAGGTCGTGAAAAGCTTAGCAACGAGGTGGTCGAGGAAAAAATGAGGGATGCTGAATTCTGAACGGGTATCCCTCTTGAATTCTGAACGTATCCCCGTCTTGGTGCGAGTGGGCAGCAGTGCCACCTGTGCATTATTAACTAACTGGTTTGAACGTGAGGGGGGAGGGGAGGCGGGCAGCGTTAGTTTTATTTAGCGAGCTAAGGGAATTTCAGTGGGGTTCTGAAACCTCCCTATTCCTCTACCCCTTTCCTTGGTGCCACCACTGCTGATAAAGAAGTGTGCATATTTCCACACTTGTGCGTCCGCTCGGATCTGTATATGTTGACTGTACGTGTGCGCTGGCAGTAAAAACGGCTGCGCCTCCTACAACCTTAACCACTACCTTCCCCAAGAAAAGCAATATTATCAACAGCGTCCGTCACAGCCTCTGGATATGTCGTTGCCACAGGAAGATTGTAGAAACGTCGTGGCGATGCATTGCCACTCCAGCACTAACTAACGTAGTCGCTTTGATGAGCAGGCGTGATCATGCTTGGTGCTGCAGCTGGTGTTCTTCACTGTGTTAAGCACCAAGCGCGGGCCTAGATACCTCCCGTAACCTGGTCACGGCTCCTTTAGTTTGAGCCGGGGCCTTTTTCTGCCTCTACCAGTCCACACCAACGGGGTGAAGACGGTAGTGACAGTGTGCCTAGTGGTTACGGTTTGGCACCTCGGCCCGCAGCGTCCCGTCATATGAGTCGTTCCTCCTCATTAGTCCAGTAGACGGGGCGCTGTTTGTTCCGTGCTGATGGTGACGTCTGCCCCGGTGAGGGTGACCGAGCTCGGCCTGCCTGTGGGGACGGGGTTCCAGGCTGGCTCAGGTGACCAGGTTTGGGTGGGCGGGGCGGGGCAGTAGGAGGAGAGAATCTGGGTGGCGTAGTGGGCGCCGAGGACGGAAGTCTCTCCCTGTCATCATGATCCCGGAGGTCTTGTAGGAACTCTGTGGGTAGGTCGATTGAATCAGGAGTGTTGGCACGGGATACAGAGACGTGGGTGTCGTCTGTACCCCGGGAGACACGACCCAGGGTGGAGGCCGCAGGCTCACTGTTGAGATACTGTCCGTGTTGGCGGAAGATATTGTCAAACTCCAGGAAAACTTCGTTCTGAACATTATCTCGACTGAATGACACTTGACTCTGGGAGCGTTGAAGTTCCCTTGACCCGTCTTCTCCCTCAACTTCTTGAGACGATTCATGAAGGCGGGAGGTATCCCGATTATCTTCCTGCTGCTGCTGCACCTTAGACGTCCTACGGGACTGGTATTGCTTGAGATCGCGGCTCAAGTGTTCACCCAGCTCCTGGGAAGTCATGATGGCCAAATCCATCCTGCGGGAGGCCACAACGTCGTCTAGCTCCCGGGAGTCGCTGAAATATCTACTAGGCTCACGGGACTCATCGTCATCGTCATAATGTGTCGTCCCGTCATCCAGCTCAGAGTCAGTTGTGTAATGAGGATCGCGAGTTACCAATCGTTCTTCTAACTCATCACTGTCCATAGACGAGATATACCGTGGGCCTCGACGACTGGCTGATCGCTGCAGCTGGTCGTCGTCTGATCTAGGCTGTCCCGTATAGCGTCGCTCCCGCACCGATCGTTCCATATGATCAACCTCGACGGATGATTCTGGTCGGACACTGTGGTGGTCGGCGGGGTGACTCTTAGGTGTGACTGTATCGGGACTGGAACGAGACTGTTGGTACTGCTGTGGACTGTATGCTTGATCCTGCTCCTCCTGGCTCGCCTCACTGCCAGAGGCGCGGTACTCGTCGTGTAGCCACGAGCTGCGTGGTTCCTCATCATCAGTGCGCCCACTTTCTTCGCCACGCTGGACTTCACCCGGGGAATTAGATCGGGAAGACTCGGAACTGATAGAAAGCAAGTCCCTGGTGCTTCCGGACTTGCTACTCTTCTCCCGTTTGAGGTCCTGCACTTCCGGAAGAGCCATATTGCTGCGCAGCTTGCCAGCTCCAAACTGTTCGTTACGCCCAGTAAACCACGATCCCAGCTTATGACCAGACTCTCCCCCAAGAGTCAGGTTCTCTACACGTCTTGAAATGCTCTCTATGGAGTCCTGCTCCGTGAGGCGAGATCTTGTCTTGATCTGGCGGGACCCACAAGTCTTCTTGAAGCGCACGATGACAATGACCCCAGCAATGGAAAGCAAAGCCAGGCCACAACATGCACCAATTAACACATAGGCCATGAACTTGGCATTAGCCTTGTCCGTGTCTTCCATCACCTCTTCAGACATGGTTACATGGCCGCCACTAGTGTCACTAGCAACCCCATCCAAGTCGTGTCCGTCTGGCTCAAGATCTTGGTTGGAACCTGGGGAGAGCGGCACGGCACCATCGAACAGTGAAGTGAGGTTCATAGTGTCGTCGTAGTCCTGGGTAGCATGTTCAAAAAGATCTGGAGCAAGAGGAATGAGCTGGATGTTCTTCCACAGATGAGCTACTGAGGGATCATGCTCCCCAAAAACTGTGTCAACATCCTGTCCCCCGAGTACTGCATCAACACCATGTTCTCCAAACACTGTGTGAGCATCATGCTCAACCGGAAGTAGGGACGCCTGTGAGCCCCGGCGGTAACCTGTCAGAGGCACTTGATAGTGACCGTTGTCTGACGTTGCCAGCTCTCCTTGGAAACTGGCTGGTGCAGATGAGGCCTCATCTACTGAAGCAGCAGGCAGGTCATCTACTACACTGCTATCACCCTGTATTGACGACAGCTTCGCTACTGTGCCATTACCTTCAGCCAGGGCATAGGCCATCCGGTGGTTTTGAAGCAACATTTGCAAGTCGTTTTTTTCTTGCTCTGTCAATGTTAGTGGAGGGACTTCAGGCTTCCTGACGCCCAGGAGGTCATCAAGGCTAGTATGACGGCCATCAAGGTCGACTATACTTGGGAGGTGGTCAAGCATAGGGTCACCACCTTTGTGGCCTTCCTGAAGATGGCTGTTTAATCTAGGAGATGTTGTAGTGGGTGTGATAATAATGGGAAGATCCACAACATCCATGGATGCAGCAGAATTATGATGGTGAGTCTGTTTTTTGGCACCTGAATCTATTTGGCCACTACCACTGGAACCTTCAGTCTGAATATGGTAATAGTCTCGATAGTCAACATCGTAGTAGTTTACGTACTCTGGTGAGAGGTCAGGATCGTAAGCAGAATCTGAAGGGCGTTGTTGGTCGTGGGTGATGCCAGGGATGAAGCCACTGCTTTCCGAGTTGTGACCCTCGCTCCTGTTTGGTGTGTAGTCCACTGGCTGATTCCCTGCCCCTCCACTGCTTTCGGCCTCTTTCTCGCTTTGTACATCTACCAGAGGAGGCTGGTAAGAGGCTGGGTTTTCCTGCTTTTTAAGAATTGTCGCCCCCTTCAGAGATGGGGATACACTGACGTGGAGAGGTGGAACATTATCGGTGGCGTGATGGCTTGGGTGGGGAAAAGAGCCAAATACTGTTGTGGGAACATCGCTTAACACAATTCCAGGTCTGGCAATGCTGGTACTTGCACTATCCTGCTCGAAGGGCCACTGTGGAACTGGTACCGTAGGCACAGAGGGTGACACCCACTGTCCTGGCGGCATTAACTTGGAGACGGGAGGTGGAGGACCTGTGGGGCGATTCACGTCAAGAAAAGCTGATGAACCTCCAAGGCTGCCTGAAGATCTTGGTGGTGACATCACAGGTCCTGGAGGTCTAACAGGCCTGGGGGAAGGGGCATTAGGCAGCAGGGAGGACAGGAAGGAAGGCAATCTTGGTGGGATGTCCTGTGCCTGGGGCTTAGCTGGAGGACGGAATCTTGGAGACTTGTTACTGAAGAAGGGCAAGTTCGGCAGAAACTCTGCTAAGGGCATCTCAATACCAGGAGTCCCATTCCTCTTATTATGTATTATGGGCAGCTTGGGTCGCCCGATGATATGGGAGGGTGGGATGAGGACAGAGCCAGGGGGAAGGGCATCCAATGCGTCTGGAGGAGGCATCTCTAATCCCAATGTGAGCTTGCTGAAGGGTATAGGTGGGCCGTTGTGTGGCACTGGCGGCACCTGGATGCTACTACGCTCTCGCTTCTTGTCGTCATGGTTGATGCTGGAACCCAGGACGACCTCAAAGGTCTGGAATGGAGGCGCTGTGATAACGTCAATGCCCTCGTCTCCGCGGCGACCATGGGCGGAAAGCCTGGCGGCTGTGCGGCTAGGGTGCCAGGCATCGTCACTTGCGGCTGCTGCCGGTGCCTGACGTACTGGGTAGCTGGGACGAATTGAGGGCCTTTTGCTGCCGAC